ACCTTGTCCTGGTGTTTTCCCAATTTGTTCTTTGGATTCGTCATCCCGGTGTCGCTTTAAGTTGTATAGGCGACAAGGGTTGGGTTGTGTGGCGGCGCTCCAAAGCTGAGACTAGTAAGGTTGGGTTCTACACGGACGTAGGTTCCGTGCCGTAGGTCTGGGCCTTCGCGATGGGTCACAATAAATGGTAGATTCTCCCCGTAAATATTGAACAAGAGAGAGGGTCGGTGTGGTGATTGGTTAGGGTAAGTGATGGGCTTGGATTGGATGCGGGTTCATATATTAAGGAACGCGAGAGCAGTTGGAGGAGATTGGAACGTGAGTGACAGCTGAGGTTTGTTTGTAAACATATATTATCTTGTGAAAAGTAAATTTATGGTACCGTTTCTGTGATTATTTATACTTTCAAGCAATTGATAAGCATACAATACGCTTAACATATTGACCGTTATCAATGACATAAACGTGTGTAGCAGTCTGATGGTCCGCAGTCGTGCCGGAACTCTAGCAGAAGCATTTACACTAATGTAATGGCCGCCGCGAAATGAAATGATTTCGCGCGCTTCAGCTACTGTGACGCGACGTTGATACAACTGAAGCCTCTCCCCGATGGACAGCGTAAGTCTAGCGACGGCTCTCTCCGAGGTATTAAGCGTCTCTCATCCCCTGGAATCATTGTCCGAAGTAAGCAGCATATTTACACGGAAGACGTTATCGCGCAGTTGATTGATTCATTAATGCCGAGTGAGGCGACGCGTGATAAGTGCAGAGCACGCGGGCGAAGACACACTGCTAGCTCACGCGGGCCACGGTGCGATGATCGAGCATGAAATGCACGGGCTAAGAAATGTTAAGTAGGTGGCTGTACACCACGTAAGCCTCCGCGATTTGTTCATCGTTGGCACTATTTCGGTCTGCCCCAGAAAATGCCTTTTTTGGCTATGGTTTTTTTCGCTGAATTCGGCACTAGATTGCAGATAATTGCATTATGCACGCAATGTTAGATGCCTCGTGACGTCTTAGAAAGCATTAGAAGTAAAATTAGGTCTTGTTGTGTATTTGTGACTATTCTCGTCAGGTGGCTAGTCACAGCGAGGATCGGTTGGTCCTTGTTTGTGTTCTGAAATGTAAGTCAGACAACTTTGCTAGAATTCGCATCATAGAGGCGGGCAAAAGTTTCGAAGGCGGAGATAGAAGACATCGAATCTGTAGTTATTTAAATAAATAAAGTGTATATGGTGTGTAAGCGAAGTAACAGTGTGAGTATTTTTAATTAATATCTGTTCGATCGCGTATTCAGGCCTGGCTGCCTATGGAGGCCGATCTACTGTTGTTCACGCGGGCACCTATTGAGCCATGCGGCAGCCTTCCATGTTTCAGTCTGTGGGCTTTCTACTGTTGTCGGAAGTAATCGGAATATTTACGCTGCAAGGAAACTGTCGTGTTTTTGCACTCAGACGCAGTCAGTCAACGTTATGGTGAACGAAGTCAGGACTGGCAAGGCGATATCACACTCACAGACGATTTCTTCATGATTATCTCAGAATATATGGGAGTATTATAAATAAAGAATATAACTTATATTATATATTATAGATAAAATGCACGGGCGAAGAAATGGTACAGTAACGTGCACGGTCAGTGCTCGAGCAAATAAATGCACGGGCGCAAGAAATGTTAAGCAGATAGCCGCAGATGTTCAGTGCTCGAGATAGAATGCACGGAGAAGAATGCTCTAGGCATGGGCGGCACCTTCCATTGTTCAGTTTATATATATATATATATATATAACAGCTGCCAAGGGAGTCGTCACGAGCCACACACGTACGCAGCACACACGCTCACTCACGGCCGCTGGCTTCCGTGCTCGTGCACGCACGCCGCCGCTGGGCACTGACCTGTATAACTTGCTCATGATCGGTTGCCACAGCACGAGAGTGCTCTCGCGCGTTCAGCTGAAGGTCAGGTGCGAGAAATCGACGCGGTGCTGAGGTAGCAGGACCCTGCAGAATGTTCGCATATGGCACTCCGGGTTTGGCCCGCCATGTCACGAGACACTGAAGACTGTCTTGCCAAATTCATCCTAAGTCTTGCTTCTCCCTCCGCCCAATCACTAGCAAACAGTTTAGAGTGTAAAATTACGAGCGATCGGGACGCGCAATCGAAACAGAAGAGGCTTCGCAAGTGTTGGCGTGGCCATCCTGATATATGACTATAATCAAAAGAGCTAATAAATATTATATCAATATATTACATAAATAGATGATGCATGGTACTGAATATACGATCAAATATGATGCAATATAATCATAAATATTATAAAATATAACTATGTATATATGCAATATATATTGGCATTTAGCGCTGAAGAGCAGGTACTGGTGCTTGAGTGATATTTCCGCCGAGGTA